CCTACTCCATCACCTTCTCCCCTCCTCCTCCTTATCCTCCTCCCCCTACTCCATCACCTTCTCTCCTCCTCCTCCTCCTCCTCCTCGAGGTGCTAGGGGTAATTTCAGACTGGGGGTAATCTCAAACCGTGACAGCGGCATGGCACCGCCGAGTCGACTGCAGCGCCACTCGTTTTCCGTTTGACGGTACGAAAAACGAAAAACGAATTCGTATAAATTTTCCTTCACTGTTTATCGTTGATGTGCTAGAAAAACGGAAAACGAATTCGTTTATCGCTTACCGTTTTTCGTTATCGTGTATGAACAACGAAAAAGGAAATAACTACCCTTTTTCGTTTTTCGTGTTTTGTTTTGAAGTAAGAAAAACGAAAAGACGATATATACACGGACCTACTAGTTAATGTGGTTTTCTCGTACTTATTACTCCCTCAGATACACATGCTCAAACATGGAGACAGTTACATTTAGATCCAAGATTAAATTTATTCATAAACTTAATACATCAGAAATAAAAAAAAAACATACCAAATAAATTATAAGGTTTCGTAAACTAGAAGTCAGCTTAGGTATTCCACAAATTGTCCCATTGAGGTGTGAGAAATATTAGATATGAAGTACAAGTCACCTGTCTTGGCTTCTGGCTTCTCTCTGCGTGGCGTCTCTATTGCAAACTCCTCATCACTGGTGGACATTGTTATGTAGGCATATGTATATGTTCCTGTAGTTCCTGTTGTTTCCATCATATATGTGTACTCATCTCCTCCTGGTGTTACACTCGTGGTTCCTGTTGAAAAGGAGGAATTTTCAGTCACTGATTTTTCTTCTTTCTGCTTTTTTTTTAGCTTAATTGGCAGCTATATTTAATTATAGAAATATATTATAGGATAACAACAAAAATGTTAAACATTCCACAAGTACCTTATAGGGTGCCATAGATGTGTATGTGGGCGAGTAACTATACTCGTTTAAATTTCTGCATTCCATTTTCATCCTAATCTATGGTAGGTTCATGCATGCCTACCTGGTAACTTATTGTGCATGTTGTTTAAAGGGACAGTAGCCTCTAGGATTTTACTGCATACAATTGTACTTACTGTATAACAAATCGTCTATACCCACACGTATTTGTTACCAGATACCTAATTTAATTGTTATTACATTTACATTATTACTATCGAGTAAATGTGTCTTACGTGAGCACAAGGCTGCTGCTCCCTGCATTCCTGTTGTCTTCCGATAGGACTAGTTCACTTCTTATATCTATGTGAATATATAAGAGCACCCATCTGCAGCTAAGTCTTCCAGTCTTATTAATATAACTGCAGCATTTCAAGGACTACATCAGAAACAAAATATACTGTCAATAGCCATGCTATTAGTCACAGTACAAATATCGAGTTAAAAAATATCGTAAATATATGCTAATGCAAATGATAACTTTTAGATAGCCTACTCGTGATATTTGAAACATCTAGAATCGATGCACCATCCACCGGTGGCTGGCTGGCTGGCGTTGAACTACGTAGGGAAGCTGTGTGACGATTTGACACGGACAGACCTTGTTTCTTTCCTGCATTTTTAATAGAAATAGTAGAGATATGATAGGCGTTAGAATTACGTACACTGCATAGTAAGATCTACCATTGCTTATCACTAATGTTCCGCTACAATGCACGCTTTTTGTGGAATTTATTTGACTAGACAAGATTCTCGCTTGGGAGGATGATAGCTGGTAGTAGCACCTGCAATTGTAGAGACATCTGGTGCATGCAGCTTACGTGCTTTCTTGTTACTAACAACAGGCGTGGACGTAGCTCTGCTGTTCTTTACAAATGACCGTGGTGACTTGCCTAGCCTGACACTTGAAGCTAAATAGAGCATTCATATTAAGTGAAATTGAATTGCATCCACCTACCATCTATATATAATAATAATCTAATATTATTTTAAACGTCTACACATGGTTCCAGGAATGTTACATTACAATGTTATTCCACAACGTTGTGGCAACGTTCAGTGGAGTCTACAAATTTACGTTGCCACAACGTTATATCACGTTTTTACAACGTAAGTGAAACGTTGTGACAACGCTGCCACAACGTCAAATGGTTAGCTGGGAACGCTTTTAATTGATAAGTAAAATTGTACTTTTTACTGTTAATAATAAAAACAGTATATCATTCAATCCTGACAGAACAAATTAGCTGTTTTCTCAGGCGTCTATCATAACAGACACAACATCAGTTACATGTTATCAAGATTCCATAATAGAGACTCTATTATGACTCTATTAGCGACTATATTATGACTCTATTAGTGACTCTATTATTACTCTATTAGATGACTCTATTATAGAGACTCTATATATATAGAGATCTCTTATATGGACTCTTGGTGTTATCAAGAGTCCATATCCACTAGCGGATTAAGGGCGGGGCAACAGGAGCACGTGCCCCGGGCCCCCACATTTGGGACCCTCCACATTTAGAGTATCTTAAAATTTACAAACTGTCGTAATTGTGATCCACAAAATTCTTCGCATGGAACGTTGAAGTGATGCGTTTCCCATGCTGTTTCTCTGACTGAATTTTGCTGTTCAGCTGAAGGACACTTTCACTAATACCGAAATTGATTGGATAAATGAGAAAATGAGTATAGTTACTGCGCCAAGCAATACCACATCTAATGGGCATCCCTATAGAGGACTGTGGAACTGGTTTAACATTTTGTTGTATCCTATAAATATTCTATAATTACATATACTGCCAAATTAAGCCCTTTAAAAAAAAAGGCAGAAAGAAGAAAAAATCAGTTGAGTGACTGAAAATTCCCTCCTGTTTCAACAGGAACCTGACGTAGTGTAACACCAGGAGGAGATGAGTACACATATATATGAAACACAGGAACTACAGAACATATACATAGCCATACATAGACAATGTCCATAACGCAGTGATGAAAGAGTTTGCAATCAGAGCGGCCACGCCAGAAGAAGCCAGAAAGCCACAAGACAGGTGACTTGTACTTCATAAATGCTAATATTTCTCACACCACATATGGTACAATTTGTGGCACACCTAAGCTGACTTCCTAGTTTTTGAACACCCATTATAATTTAATTTGTAATGTTTTTTTTATTGTCTGATGTTACATAATCAATATTATTAAATAAATTTAATTCTTGATGCTAAATGTAACTTGTCCTCCATGTTTTGAGCAAATTGTTGTATTCTGAGGGATGTAATGAAATACGAAGAAACCACATTAACCTAGTACAAGTATTGTTAATATTTTCATTTATTCTATATTAGTCCTCCTTCATCAACAGCTAATCTTGTGATGTCATAATAGCTCTTCGCAATTAAATTTATGGTGTTGCCGTTTAGCTGCTTCAGATATTAAGGCTTGCATAAATAACAACGTCCTGGTGTGAATGTTATAGCAAAAATTCCAGACCTTGTGGCTTTCCCTCAAATGCACCACATTAGCGATAGAGACATCCGTCCTAGCTTTGATATAAAACAAGCATCACAACACTGTTTCTCTCTCAAATGTGAAGCACGTCTCTCTCCGTAGGGGCGCTCGCCACGCGCGCCGCTCCGTGCACGTTGTTCAAAATTGCCGATCGTGTGTTGCACGTGTGTCCCCGGAACATGAACCGACGGAGTCTAACGCCGGGGAACGGTCCTTGAGTGAAATCGACGCGCGACGGTTTCGCGCGTGTTCCACGATGTGGTCCTTCTCGAACGAGAATCGCTCCGGTTCTGCGCCTGTCAAAACGAATACCAGGGCCCGGAGACGCGATCCTATCCGTCTTACGTCCGTCAGGGCCGCTCGCGTCAGCTCCACTCATGCGCGCGGCGATTCGCGCCGCTCCTCGCAAGCCGTCACGTCCACCGTGAGCGCTCGACCTCTAGCGTCTCTTCCGTAGAAGGTCGATGCCCTCGGACGCAGTAATCTGAGCGAGGTGCGCCGCCGGCGCCGCGCACTGCTGGCGAGTGGCTGTAGAGTACCCGTGCCCGGGCCGGCGGAGCAGCGAGCGCACCGACCTGGCGCGCCCCCACAGCACGCTGTTTCCGTTATCTGGCGGTAGATTCTCATCGCTTCGCGTGCTCGGCAGTCGTAGAATAAGGAGCAGGGGCACTTGACCGCGGGTCGTCCCACAGCCATACGTGCCGAAGCGACCGGCCAGCTTTTCAAGGTCGTTGGGATCGTCCGCCATGCTCCTTCGAGTGAAGTTGGATGCACGGCTATGTTGCGACGCAAGCGCCAGCAGGCGATCGATCGACGCTTCTGCGCGCCATCTATGTTGTGTAATGCTACCTCAGGCTCGTTGCACGCCGACGCAGCCCACCGAGCCAGAATGCAGAGAGTGGCGGCCCCTGGCGGCAGACACCGCTCATACGTAGATTAGCAGAGAGAGTCGGCGCGTCAGTGTTTTCTCTGCGTGCGTTCGTTCGGTGGTGCGCTTTCACCTTCCTGTCTACCTGGGAGTTGCAGTTTGTGTCCGGTTCCTATTTCTCTTGTCTATTGCCTATGCAGTCTGTGTCGGCTCTACTGGCATTAACAGCGTTTCAGTTGTACAGAGTGCGATAATCAGGGACCCGTGAAAACACAAGAAGGGTGCTTCGGCTCGCGACTCCATTCTTGGAGAAGCGGCGGAACGCTTCGCGCCCCTGAGCATCATACGTCGGGGCAACCCGCGCCCTCCGCCGCGGACGTCGCAGACCGCCAAGAAAGCACTGCATCCGCGGCTATTCGGTCGATGTTTCACAGCTAGGTGGCGCTGTCGTCCAATAAGGCGGCGCACACCGTCGCGCGCACGAGTTGAGCGCGAAGATGTCGGGAGCAAACGTTAAATAATGTTGGTTGCATGATCTGCGGGCAAATCCAGCAATGGGTGAAGCTTGACCTCGTGGCCTGTGGGCATCTGTGTCCAAGTTTACCCTCTGGTGCCACTGGGCCATGCATACCTGTAACGAACAGAGGAGGTGAGAGTCGACCTTCAAAGCTTACTGCTGTAGTTGGAGTACTTACAATCGGTGGCAATGTTTTGATGCCTCGTGCATAATTAATGATCGAGTAAAATCGATTGTGAATGTTGTCAAGCAAACAGTGTAAAGTACTCAATGGAGTGTATGGTTACATTGTCGTCATCGTTACCATGATCGTTCGTCAGGCAGCAGGCAGCAACAGGTGACAGGAACATAATTAGTTGTACGGCAATAAGCCAGCATCAAACAGAGCAGCAGTAGCAGCAAGCACGCAGCTGAATTTGCTAGTAAAAGTAGTAGTATGTAAGTAAGTAGCAATCAGCAGTAGTCAGTTGTACATATAGCAAAGCAGCAAATCAGCAGCAGCAAGCAAACAGCAGCACGTCTCTGCAAAAACTACTACCGTGTGATGATGATCTAAAAATATTCTCATCGGCGATATCATTTTGATCCGGTGGCGGCAACTCTTGTTCCACTTGGAAAGCACCTGCACCTTTATATTAACCCTTATATATGCTTCCTAAAACAAAGCTGTGTACTGGGTCAACTGGTGGCAGTCCATCCGCGTGGACCAAGCCCAGTGCCAAATCCGAGGCCGGTTTGGAGATGATGTGAGCAATCACCTTATAGCTGCAATGTTGCACTAATATGATCTAACTTTTTCATGAATATGAACGCTGTAAATATGTCACAGTATTGTAATGTACTGTAGACAGTGTGTGCACACGGCAGGTGCGTAACGCAATGCTTACATGTCAAATTCGATATCGATATATGAAATACATGAGCGAGTGGCAACGATAAATGACCATCAATAGCAGGGGTTTGCCTAGACTGCAACCGTTTCATTAGTGGAGGATAATGAGGCAAGGTCGTCGCTTAGCTGTCGAATGTGCCGATGATGTAAGTCATTTAGTAACATACACTATAGTTAGTTTTATACGTCATTATACAGGAGTGATAATAGAGATATTAATATACGAGATCTAGATCCTATTATACCGCCTCCTGATAATACTTAATTGCGTGAAGAAACAGCAATGGACAGCCTCTACGGGCATCAGCTTCTACTGTTTTTCCTCACCACGTGACGATTTGATTGATGGTTGGTATGATGACATTTTACATAAAAGTTAGTGTTGAGAAAAAATTGATACTTTTTTATATATAGCGCAATTATACTGTTTGAATTAATTAGGCTCTATATAATAATCACTAATTCAGTAGTCCAGCATGTTTTTTCCTTTTGTATCATCACAATCCCAAGATTAACTAGCTAATTAAAATTCTGAGTTAGCTGATACTATCAGGATTTATAGTATAAAATTCACATATCAGGAAGCCCAATCAATTAACGATAATTCCAACTGTGAACCTGGTCGGGCAGACATTTTCCACTCTGCCTGCGACGCCACATACCATAATCTCGCAACCGTTATGGCCAGCTTAATCTGGTGGCCTCTGGATCCCGAGTTGTAAAACATAGTATATATTGTAATAGGTAGTATATATGTATAGTAAGTAATATATTAAAAAGTAAAAAATATGAGCTGTGAGACAGAGTCCGCAAGCCCTCGTGTCAGGAATATATATAATAGTATCGTCAGGCAGCACACCGTATATGATGCAAAGGTTAATGGAATCACGGCTATTAGAGATGAACGCTTGGTAACAGTATATTTTGGTACTTGTTGTATATATTTAGCAGGGGTTAATAACGACAAATTATCACCCATATATTTCACCCCTGATAAATTCACCCCTGTATTCACACCCTGTAGCATTATTCACCGCTGATTAATTAGAAGAATTAAAACAATGAAATTTAATGGAACAGCCGGCCTCCGCAACTGTGATTGCTTAAGTTTTCGCGGTAAACAAGCTTTCGTTCGAGTCAAAACTGCGCATCGATCGTTGTTATGTCGATGATGTTGCTATAGCCTCATGCTGGCGACATTCAGCAGATGTGAGTCTGAAGAAAATTTGGATGAATCCTTGCATTGTGATATACAACAGGCTTGATGCAAGGTGTGCTTGCGAGCAGTCGCACTCAGTTTCGTTTGAATCGTTCTCTCGTGAAACCTCACGCAAACACATATATGCATATAGAAGTATATGGATATCGGAAACTTTTACGGCCCATGGCGTTAATTTCGCATTGCTATACCCTAGCTAAACATGCAGCTCATGTGAACCTCTCGTGTGAAGTGATCACACGGAATGAGCGTAGAAAATCTGTTATAGTTGCGATGAAGTGGAGTTTAATTTTGTTAAATTCATAACTTACATATATTGCGTTTGAATTTATTATAGGGAGTATATGATTAGTAGAGACCGCCGTGCCTATACAGCTTCTTATCTTGTCCTCGAGATCGCCGCCCCATTTTAGTCTCGAAGCCCCAATATCACCTGGACCACAGACCCACCACCACCCTATTCCACACACCAATACTCATGGTGTTCCTATTACAAGTATAATATCACGGGCTCCAACATATACACGGGCTCCAACGAAATGTCATCCAAAATGGCATAAGCCACATGGGGAAAAAAAACCTTTTTTTCAACAAATTTAACAGTGTTCTTTTCCATATGCAAATACTTCGCTGTCACTCAAATTTCTGTCTAATATCATAAATATACTTGT